GGCGACGCGGGCGTCGCTGCGTCCTGGCCCCGCCCAGCCCCCCCGCCGAGCCACCTCCCCGGCTCTGGCCCGCCCCCTGCTGGCAGGCCTTGCACCTCGCAGGCTCCGTGGCCTCGGGATAGTGTGATAGTTTGCTTCTCAACCCTTCTCAGATCCCCCATAGTCACCTCATAAACCTGGCACCTGATGCCATTTTATCCCAGTACATGCTTAGGCCTCAGAGGCGATAGGACTGCAGCCATTCTGCACTCTCTCCACTTCCTGGGACCATTGGTTGAACTTAGGTCACCAAGCTGGCACAGAAAGTGCTTTCACTCACTGAGCAGGCTCACAGGCAGGAACAGATTTTAATGTCCCCCCCCTTCCTGTCCCATCCAAAACGCTCCTTTCCTTTTCCCACCCTTTCCTCCATTCCCCTTTCTTCTTTTTTCTGCCCATTGCAGAAAGGGACCACCATCTTGTTTGTCATCCAGCCAATGCTGGATATCACTGAATCTATGGTGAGGACCTGGGGACTTAAGATTCAGCTGTGGGTTGCTGGGTAGAAAGGGGACTATTAAGGCTAAGGGTCCAGGTGACACACCCTCCCCCATGAGGGCACTGGAGCGATACCTTGAGAGGGTCTAGGAAAGCAGAGACCACAGTGAAGACTCCCCCTGAAATCCCAGGCTGCTAACCTGCCTGCGGCCAATACCTTGGAGCTAATAAGCTGGGTTTCCCCATGACTTGGGCTTGTCCTGTGCACTACAGGAACCTCAGCACACCTGATGCCTGCTAAGGGTTCCACAGGATTCTGGTGAAAGTGACCCACTTGCTTGATGGCAATTCCATTTTCTGCTCCCATGGGTCCACAGGCTCCAGTGCATAGCTGTGTACAATGCCTGGAATGTGGGATCTAAATCTGATATTGTGTGCTTCCTGCTCAGCTCCATGGCTGAGGCAGTGGTAACAAAGTCCATCTTGCACAAGACTTTCCACTCTCCAGGCTGGGAGGAGTGCTTCATGTGCACTTCTCCAAGAGGGAGTCAGGCTTCCAGTGCTGTGTGGATTGTCAAAAAGTCAGATCAGCAGAGGCGTGTCTGAACTCTGGCCTGACATGTCTTAGCGTCCCATATGTTTCTAGTGGGGTAGGTTGTCTGAGGACATGCTCAATTTCTCTGTCCCTTAATTGATGCTCCAGGGGTCTGCTCATTTCCATACTGTGCAGTGGGAAGAACCACCATCCTGCTTGTCATCAAGTCAATGCTCACCAGCACAGCTCAGACCTGGGGCTGAAGAAGGGGACTCAGTTTTGTCTAGTGGTGTTCACTAACCACTTGGGGCTAGTTAAAGATTTCAAGAAGAATGCAGGCTCTGGGGACATGAGGACACTCTAGAGATGGAGAGCTCATGAGTATCAGCCTGGGTAAGGAGGGGTGTATGAAGAACTCTTCCAGGAGGAGGTGGTACCAGACCCAAGAATGAAAAGTGAGTGCTATTGTTCTGCTTTCCTCCTTGAAGATGGGGTGGAGGGAGTAAAAGAACCACATAATTCTGAGAGTGACCATAGCAACTGAGCGAGATGAAATGTACAGCAAGCACCGTGGATCAAAAGCCACCACCAACAGCCTTCCTTCTGCTTTGACTGCTATGAGGGCTAGGAAAGTAAAACTTTCACACTTCTTGTGGCTCAGAGTCATGGGATTCACTTCTGAGATACACAGGGAGTCTCTGTTATTCTTCTCGAGGATCTGAGTTTTATTCTGAGCACTCACATTAGGTCATTCATAACTGCCTACAACTCCAAAGGATCTAATGTCCTCTTCTGGTCTCTGTAGGCACCAGTGTGTGTGTGTGTGTGTGTGTGTGTGTGTGTGTGTGTGTGTGCATGCACATGCACACACAATAAATCTTTATTATTATTTTTTTCCCAAGACAGGGTTTCTCTGTGTATCAGTCCTTGCACTCCTGGAACTTGCTCTGTACACCAGGCTGGTCTCAAACTCACAGAGATCTACCTACCTCTGCCTCCCAAGTGCTGGGATTAAAGACATGCACCACCACTGCCTGATTTTACCAGCCAATTTTATGGAGGCAATTCCTCAGTTGAGGTCCCCTTCCCAGGTGATAATAGTTTGTGTCAAGTTGACAGACACTAGCCAGCACTATTTCCTTCATTATTGTGTACGTAGAGCAGAAACCCTGGGTTCATTGACCAAGGTTGGAAGACTGGACCTTCCAAATTATCACACAATGACAGCTTTGATTACAAAAGTTCTTGTTGATTTTTAATTTTGGATGCTGTCTTAGCTTCTGTTCTATTGCTGTGGAGAGACACCATGACCAAGGTAACTCATAAAAGAAAGCATTTAATCTGGAGCTGGCTCAAAGTTTTAGAGGGTGAGTCCATGACCATCATGTCAGGAAGCAGACAGGCATGGCATTGGAGCCATAGCTGAGAGCTTTCTATCCTGATCTGCAGGCATCAGGCAGAGGGAGAGAGACCGGGCCTGGCATGGGCTTTTGAAACCTCAAAGCCCACCCCCAGTGACACACCTCCTCAACAACCACACACTATTCCCATCTGAGAGGCAGAGATGTTAGACTTTGCATGTTTGAAGGGCCAGTGTCTCACTTTTCAGCACAGACTCTCTCGAAAATCAGTATTTCTTTGCCTTCTGAGTGCTGGGGTTATGGGTAGAGGCGAACTCTATAAGGGTCACAAAGGAAGTCCACAGTAATGGTGGTTTGAAGGCGGGGGTCCTCCCTCATACTGCAGTCTTTATCTTGGCCTCACTGGATGTGGTCATCTCTTCTCCCAGGACACCTCCAAAAAGGGAAGTTTAGAGGCCCCTGCTAAACGAGCCAGGCGCTGTTACATATTCTTGCCAGAAGATGGCACTATCCACCAGTCCTCTGTAGTTGTCCCAACTAGGAGGCACTGAAATACTCCCTAAGGAAGGCCTCTGGGAAAGAAGCTACCTTCTCCTATCATCTCTCCTCCCCTTCCCCACAGGGTGGTCTGGGCCACAGAGCAGGCCACGCCCATAGGCCCGAGGCCAGAGCTTTGAGGACCCCAGTGTGAATGCCAGAGCTGTTGCTTGGGGCAACCTGGGCAGCCTAGTTATAGGCTAAGCATGGGAAATTCGTGCAGCTTGAGGAGGCCTGGCCCAGGGCAGACACTGGTGCAGTGGCAGAACCTGCTGGAATCTTTCCTTCTGCTGTTGCAGGTCTTTCTGGGACTCCTGAAGCCTTCCTAGGGGCTGAGTAGAGGAGCCAGTGTCATGGGAAGAGAGGAAAGAGGCTAGTAGATGCCTCTGCAGTGTGCTGTCATGTCTCTCTGTCCATCTCCCCTCAGGGAGACAGACCTAAGCCAGTACCCCTCCATGCCCCCCCCCCCACTATGGATTAGAGGTCAGAGGTCATGGTGGGTCATACTGAAGACATACAGAGGACACACTCCTGGTCCCACTATTGTGGTTCCTTTCACTGTCCCTCAGCTGACCTGTGATTGTCAGTCTCACTATAGCTGGCAGAAGGCAAGGCCAGGAAGCATGGTGAGGGACTTGCAGCCAGAGGATCAAGAGGTGGCTTGAGTTCAGGTCTCTTGTGAGTGGACAAAGCCAGATCTGGAACCAGGACATTGACAATGCAAGGCTCTCAGTCTTTTCCAACATGGAATTGACTTGTGAAACACAGTCTGGACATACCTGCCTACTGTAGAAAGAAGGCCAGCCAGGCACCAGGATCCATTGTCTCTCTGAGCAAAGAGACCTCTGACTGGCTGGCCATTGTGCAGGTTGTTGTTAAGGGAGTTACAGTAGGAAGTCTCTGTCTTACCAGAGCCACTTCCTCAGGGCACCCAAAGAAGGAAACCCATAATTAGGGCATTTTCATCTGCTCCCCAACCTGGGCACCAAAGGCAGGTTGTCATCCCAGCTGTCCACTATCAAGCCAACAGCAGGAAGACTGAGTAGGCAGACAGCACAAACCTTGGTCCAGCTGCATGCATGCCTGCTACAGGCTGAGCTTCCCACCTCCCTTGCAACTCTGCAAGTATTGACCCTGGTTAGGGCATTCCAGCTCCCAAACATCCCTGAGGCCCTAGACTGAGCTTTGCCCTTGTCTCCCAGGTGGTCTGGATGGAGGAGGAATTGCTTGGGAAAAATCACCTGTGTGTCTTTGTGCTTGCCGTCTGTGTGTCTGTGTGTATGTGTGTGTGTGTGTGTGTGTGTGTGTGTGTGTGTGTGTGTGTCCTGGTCCATCTGTAATGCAGGGTGGGAGCCTGGAGCCCTGGGCCATAGTTGATCCAGAAGCGGGTTTTGTATAGCACCTTGACCTGCAAACTCGCAGGCCAGGTTTAGATGTTCAGTTTGGGAACCAATACAATTTTAAAGTAAAGGGAGGGGGTATAGTCCCGGCCCTCAAAGCCGCTTGACAGTTGGTGGTTTATTTTCTGGACATTTCCACACTGGGGTTTGTCAGAACTGAATTGACACAGGCTGTCCACCTCCCTCCTGCACACAGTCCTCTCTTTAGAACCAGGGCTAACCAAATAAGTGCCCCCAGTGTATCTGAATGCTCCAGTGTCCCCTACTGACGGGGTGAGGTGAAAACATTTTCCACTCATGCTCAAAGGGCCACAGAGGCACCAGAGAGCTACACTGGGGGTCTCCTGCCCACCTTCTGGGCTGTGGCTACATGCAAACAAATCAGTAGCCCATTGCCTTTTGTCCTCCTGACCTTGCAGAATTGTGGTCGCCCGCCCCCTAGACCGTAGAGAGGTCACCACGTTGGTTGCACATTCGAACACTGAGCCTTCACTCTGCATGGGAGTTGGCTAGTCTCTGCCTAGCTGCCTTCCTAATTCATCAAGCCCTTTAAGAGTTTGGCTTCTGCTTTGGCCCAAGATCCCCGGCCAAATCTGTTCCTTTCCTTCAGTCGCTCCGGATCCATCTGTCTCTTTCGGCCCTGTCCCTCCAGCCACTCCTTCGCCATAGAGCCTCTTCCTTACTCTGGCCTCCCACTGCGATCCTCAGAAGGCTGTGGCTCCAAGATAATACCAACCAAGCATGCACAGTAAACATCTCCCTGTAGCTGCTCCCTGTAACTTCCTAGTGAGCCGTCCACCAAAGGGGCTCAAGGCGAGAAAGCCGAGTGGAAGGGGCCCAGTCTTGCCTTGGCTTGGGTCTTGCAATCCTAGCACTCGCAAAATAACTGGGAGGGTGGTGTTTTTCGAGAGAGAAGTGGGGAGGAAGCTGGGCGGGTATGCGCGACGCCTCATCCTCCAGCCATGGAGAGCGCTCAGGTCTTGGGGCGGGGAGGGGGTGTTGCAATGCTTTTAGGTGGGGAGGTTGGAGCCTCGGGTGGCCCTCACCTGACAAGGAAAGGGACATGGTCCGCTGCAGCGAGGGGAGGCAGTTCTTGCTGCTGAGCCCCCGCAGTCCCCGCGACCAGCTGGAAGCTGCCGCGGTTCTTCGAGAGGCGGGAAGGGGGGGAGGGGGAGCAGGACAAGTCTGGGACCCCGAGGGCGGACCCTCGTCCCAGCTGGGGGTCTTCAGCTCTCCAGGCTGTGGCAGTTTCCAGGCCCCGCGCTATTGCGCGGTCTGGCCTCAGGAACCGCTCAGTGGTACCACACCACTTCATGATGTCACTTTACGGGAGCCTGGCTGGGAGGGCTCTGGCTCCAGAGACCTCGGGGCACGGACACGCGGACACGATCACCGGCTTCATAGACCAAGCGACTCAAGGTACTTTGCATATATTCTGCGCCATTCCGGCCGGTCTGCTCCTGGCCTGAGAGGAACTGGGGGAGACAAGTTTCTGCTCCATTGCCGTCTGAGCCATGGCCCCATGAATCCCATTTTCGGGTGTTAGAGAGAAACTTGGAAGTCAGTGCATCCGAACCTGGACTATGGCACCAGTCAAGGCTTGGTTTCCGAGGACTAAGGGGATGGGGGTGGGAGGTCCCTCTTTGGAACAGTCAGGTCTCCCTGAAGCTGTCGAGCAGAGTTCAAGATCCACTTCTTTGGGGGAAGGATCTAGAGTGGCCTTGGGCCTGGGGCCCTTGGAGAAGAAAGGACAGGACTGGGGACCATGGAGTTCCCGCCAAGAGGGACTAACAGTGATAGCAGCTCCCTGTCTCCAAGGGAGGACGCATAAATTGAAGGAGTTAAGTAGAAATCAGAGTAGAGAAACAGGTATCTGAAAAAAGTAAATGGCCTCCCTCTGTATCAGGAGGGCCCTCCCAGCAGGCGGCATTGGTGGATAGTGGCTTATGTGTGGGAAGTGAGTATGGGCGCCTGTGCTCTGTGGCAGCCAGGCCCTGGAGGCCAGAGTCCAGGACTTCGGTTGTGTGGGGAGGACAGGGATGTCTGGAGCTCAAGGATCCCATCTTACCCGGTGCTGGAGCCTCCAAAGGTAGAGTGTGGGTGGGGTTGCAGTGGCTGTGTGTCATCTGGCTTTTGTTAATCTCTATTGATGTCATTAAAGTAGACAGATAGGGAAAATGTAACTAATTTCAGGCGGAAACTCCAGTAATTTGAGCCTTAATTCTACCCAGCCAAAGATCTAGCTTGGAAATCAGGAGGGAAAAGAAGGCAAATAAATGATCAGGAAAGTAAAGTTGGGCAGCCACAGACAGTCTGCAAACCATTGATACCAGCGTGGGAAAACAGGCAGAGGCCACCATGCAGTAATCACCCATCTCAGAAACACACACAGTACCTTCGAACAGACAGCTTTCTTTTCTGTACACAGAAATCCTGGGCTCAAATGGCCCTTAGGATCAGTGCATCTTCAGAAGGTCTGTCACAGCACTCCACACCGAGTCAAGGGAAGCTCCAATCCTGGTACACAGAATCAGGGAAAACTCCTGATCCCTCCCTGGAGGAGCTGAGAACATGGGACGAGTCCTAAAGTCGCTGAAGCATCAGACTGGGTTAGGGCTGGCTGGGTGTCCTGTGTTATAGAACCAACTGAGTTCTTCTGGTGGAGCTCTGCTTGACCAGCAATCCCCCTAGGCTGGCCATATTTCCTACCTCTCTTCCACCCTCCCTCCCTGGAGAAGTGGGGTGACTTGGAGGATGCACAGAAAGCTCTGTGTGGGAAAGCTGGGGTTGGAGACACAGCCCAGCACCTCTGTCCAGCTGGCTACCACCAGCTTCATTAGACAGAGTTGCTTGAGCAATACACCAGACTGTAGACAAGGCATGAAGGCCTGGTGTCCAGGGTTGGTGAACAAATCCCGAAGGTGGGGGAGTCTGCATGGTCTCTCTGGGAAGGGGCAAAATGAAACCATAGGACACCTTCAAAGGCGATACCTTATCTGCTCTTTAAACTCCCCCCCCCAGTCCACCCCTAAAGAAAAAGGGCCCATGTCCAGAAATAAAACCCCAAGCCTAAAATAAGTCACACAGAGAGAAAGATTAAGCAGCTCACTGATCTGTCCTGGAAGGTTCTTTGCACCAACAGCCTTTTCCCTTCCCGTTGGTTTCCCTGTGGGAACACCCGGAGGAGCCAAGAATGAGATTGATGAGGGCGACCAACAATGAAAGCTCATCCTGGACGTGGTAGGATTTGTTGCTAACCTGGGCTTTCATTTCCATTCGCTGAAGGGATAGGGTGGTCTGAAGTGGTTTGTGTCGCGGTGCCCCTGAGTTTCGTTTCCGGACTATTCTCAGGACCCGATTTGCATGGCAAACCGTGATCAGTAAGGATGTCTAGCAGGCTGGGTTGGGAGAAGAGAAGGAACTAAAGGGGAAATGTATTTAGTGTATGAGAATATTTCGTTATCGCAAGGGACAATTGTCATAGAGAACAAGTCCCCAAGAAAGCGTGGGCCTTCTTGCGCGCACTTAGCCTTAAGGTCATTTCTAACCAGAAGTTTGGCGCACCTTTTAGGAAAATGTGAGATGCTGGTGCAGGCAACAGAAATAAAGAGGCCTTAGGGTTTGGTCCTGGAGGCGGTGTGCGCCCCTGGTCCACAGTTTAGCGATCGGTTGTGTATCTATGGTTATAGCGAGGGCAGAAGAACCAAAGCTTTATGTGTAGCCAAGAAGAAAGGATCCCTTTTCCCGAGCCAGTTTAGCAGCATTTCCTGTGGAGCAAAGATGTGGGGATGAATTCCCGGTACTACGGACCTTCTGGGATGTTATGTATCAAATACAGAAAAGCGAAACCAAGCTGCCTCCATGGCTGCATATACAGGTTGTACTCTCACTCTCCTCTGTTTCTGTCCTTCCCGAAGAGGAATCTGCGGCCGAACTTTTTATTTGAAGTATCTGGCCTCCCCGGAGCTGCCTTGCTGTGCCGCCTGAGGTCTCCAGAGCCAGACCTGGACAGTGTGACCCTACCTCCGCTGCTGCAGCTGTCCTTGTGCCCCGACACGGCTCGCACATCTCACCGACTGCACTCGCGGGCTGGGGCTGCCGAGCCACTGGACAACACTCCCTGGGAAGCGTTCGATGTGATGGACTCTGCGAGAGTGCGGTGGCCGTCCCTGGGCAGCCCGCTGGCCCAGGGACGACTGGGTTTGGGCTGGCCAAACAGTGGCAGCAGCGGTGGCACCAACTTCCGAGGAGCACACGCTCTTGGTGACCTCCTGTACACAGAGGAAAAAGAGTCTGTTCAGGGAGATCCGCGCCTGGGCCAGTGCGCGCTCTAGGACGAGGCGCTGGCTCTCTCAGAAAGCAGGCAAGGTACCCCAGGAGCAGGGCAGCAGTGGAGAGGTTGGGGACTGATCCGGGCAGGCGGAGCCACTGCAGCCGGAAGCCTCTGCACTGGGACTTTAAGGAGTTGGGCTGGGGAGTCTGGATCTTCTGATCTACAAGCAGTATGAGGACATGGTGGTGGAGGCCTGCGACTGCAGGTAGCACGTGGTCTGGAGAGGGCCTTACTGAAGAGCAGCCCCAGTCTGGCCTGTCACCAGGGACTGTGGACCATGGCCTCTGCCTGCACAGAGGAGAGCACACAATCCAAACTCACATTTACACACTCCTTCACTCATGCACACATTTACCGTGGACAGCAGGCTCTAGTGCAGATGCTAACACTAGATGTCACAGCCATCCTTATTTGCTAACATCTATACAAACTGTGGTCTCTTAGGAGAAGGATGTCTGTGTTTATGTTGCGGTGATTGGCACTAAAACCAAGCAGAAATGGGCTAGTGTTGGATTCTCCTTTTAGTTGGGGGCTGGGTGGCTGGATTCCTGGCATTGGACTCTGAGGCACACTGCAGGGCTGTAAGGCCCAGATTTTCTGGAGGTGTGCACTGGGAGTCTTCTAAAAGTAAGGAACCACGAAGGGGGGCACCCATCCCCCAAAACAAGCCCGATGTGCTGTCTCAGTTTTGAAAAGGAAGCTTTATCTAAAAGAACGTGTTGTGTTGCATAGCATATGTCAATACCGACTTAAAAAATCAATTCCAATTAGAATAACTTGGGAAGTAGAAAGAATATTTTTCTCTTGGATGTGTGCAGAATAGCATAGGATCTGCCAGGTTTAGAAGCATCGAGAAGGCAGTAGCAGGAGGAAGTTAGAGCAATGGCTGTACATGGGTAGCAGAGGCAGCTGAGGTGTGCCAAGAGGGTTCCTAAGAGGCTGCAAAGGAGGCTCTCAGGGCTTGAGTGTCCTGGGACCAGCTCCTGCAGGGGATTCAAGCCCATTGGCCAGGTAGGCATAGCCCCCTCCAAAAGGCAATGTGTGCTTATGCTTTGCCTTCAAATCTGTGCTGGCCTGTGTGTGCCTTTCGCTGTGTTTGTTACTGTTATTTTTTGGCAGTGTGACAGTGACTGGAAGTGAAGACACACACAAATGCTTTTGTTGGACCTAAAGGCACAGCCTGGACCTGCAATGCAGGAGGAAGTTGTTCCTTGTCCCTAGACCAGGAGCTGTGGCCTTGGTGTGGGATGAGCAGGGTGCAAGTCTGTCTCCCATCTCTAGAATTTCTGCTCCACAGAGGTGTTTAGTTTGATTTCTTGGTGCCTGTCCATCCTTTGGGACTTCTTGTCAATGGCTGGGAAAGAGAACTAATCTGGCCTGCACCTGTTGGAGGGCTTCCAGGTAGTGTTAACATTATGCTGTGTGTTCTCCTTTAGGCTGTGGAAAGGTCTTAATTCTGCCCTTGTCTTGGATACCAGGGTCCAGGACGGTTTATAGGTATTTTAGTTCTTAGTGGTTACACTACTCTCCCCAGAGACAATAAAGTTGAGGATTTAGATGCAGCTAATTTATTTAAGAGCTCCATCTGAGTTCTTTTTATTTTATAAAACTCCCCCTTAGGGGAAATAACCCATGTATAATTTATTCTATTTTTGTATAATTTATTATTAAAATGAAGATTATTCTTCTTTTAGAATGTGAACTTGTATGGCTATGAATAGCTGTAACCAGAAAATGCAACAATTTCAGCTTTCTTTTTTGTTTTAATCGCAAAATGGCTTTTATTGATAGAATTTCATCTTTTTTTTTGGTGACTGGGTGTCTATGCAGATTTATGGATTCTGCAAGGGAAGTCTCCTTCTTCAGTTTTAAATTATGATTTTAATAGTGATTGCTCTGAGGTTATAATGGAGTATAAAATGGCAGTAAAAGTTGTACTAGAAAGTTTCAAAAAGTTAATGAAAATTATACTTGACTATTAATTTTGAGAAAAATTTAGGGTATTTACTACTTTTGGATAGAAACAAACATTTTGTGGCCTCCCTATCCCTTATGACTACACCAAACAACTTTTGCATGAAAATATGTTGATTTTATCTGGGCTGGAACGCATAGAGTGCTGGCATTTAAGGCTTGTGCTACCACTGCCTAGCTGGGAACTCTACTCCTAAGAGGGCCTGATCCCAGGCTGCAGTGAGACTGGAAGTTGGTCTCTTGAGTCAGTAGGTGAAACCCAGAGCTGTCATTGAAAACAAAAACAAAAACAAAAACAAAAACAACCCCCCCCAAACCAGTCTGAATTTCAAGACTCCTCTGGCTACTGTTAATATCCAATGCACCCTCCTAGCAGCAGGCCTGGCCAGTAAGCGAAGGGCCCTTTCTCCCTCTCAGTGCTGACCTTGCAGGCCTCTTCCAGCACCTGTGAAGCAAACACAGGGCCGGTTTCTTTCACATGCATCCCTTTCTGGCAAGAGGGCTGTGGCAACCTCAGAAACTTCCTGAGACCCATTTCTGTGTTTGGTGTGAAGGTGTCAGACGCACATTGAGTTCTTTAGGGGAACTTTCTAAAGTAGAAACTCTTCACTCAGAGGGAAGAGAGAGTTTATAGTCCAGACATTTTTACCCTTTTCAGGGGACGCTGAATAACCAAGGACATCAGAAAAGGCTGAGGCTACAGGCCTTCAGGATGAGGCCAGTCGTTTTGCTTTTACATTTCTGTTTTCCCATCATTTGAGATGCTATGTTCTGCATCTTGTGCCCCAGACTCATGGCTGTCAGTATCCAGAACTATGTTTGGTTATGAGCACATTGTGGACAAAAGCAATAGTCTGGGAAAGCTGCTGCAGAAGTCTGGCTGAATTAAAAGTAAATGTGAACCGATTCACCAACAGCACACAATGTCAGCTCCCTTGTGGGAGTGCCTGTGGCCCTATGCCTGCAAGCTACTTGCTCAGAGAAATTGAATATGAGCTGTTCATGCTTTGACAGCCAGTACTTTCAGACCCCTGACAGCCTGGCTCCTTTCAGATAACTCATGTGGACTATAGGCAGCTATTGCTTGGGTTCTCCGTGGATGAAGTCTGAAAGACAGTGACAAGATGTTCTGAGGCCTTTCCCCTACACAGGAGTGAGGTCCCTGCTGTCTCCCAGGGTGCAGTAACAATGTGTTTTGAGGATTCCAGGATGGCTTGAGGAACAGGCCCCACTTTTGGAGCCAGCCTGTCAGAGTCTACACAGTCAACCAATCTGCACTCTGTTTAGGAACAATGATCCAGTTTGGTGAGGAAGTCCAGCGTGCAACCTGCTTCCAGGCTTGGAAACTAATGTTCCAAACTGGGAACTGAGACCCTACAGAGAGGAGTTTCTGTGGTGTTCTCTACCTCAGATAAAACACAGACTCAACATGAGCACCCTTAGTGTAATTTTCATTTTGCATTTCACTTTCCACAGTGGGACAAACAGCTTTTGTCTTTGGTTCTTTGATAGTGTCACAATCAGGTCTTTAAGCTGCAAGATTTTCCACTCAAAAGAATAGTTCATACATTAAAAACAAAAGCAAGGTTTAACACACTATCTGTGACTTTTCCTTTTTTTGCGGATGATGTAAGTGGTCCTGGAAAGTTTGGAATTACTTTTGTTCTGTTTTATGTGTAAATTAAGAGGCAGATCCCCTCACTGTGAAGGTTGTTGCTGTATCCTGAACCTGCTTATGGCATGGTGCTGTGTAAGTAGGCCCTGTGTGGGCAGTGGAATGTGGCACACAGTGAGTGGCCCGGAGCATAGAAAGTAATTTTAATCTGATTCTGATACTGTTATTTTAAGGAAATGGCAAATGTGAAGCGATGGTAATGCCACCAAGGCTCAAGTCCATGCTGTTCCCTCAGCAGCTAAAGACAGAATTAATTAGTTTTAGGGGAAGTTGCTTTCATTTTGTAATGACACCTACTGTTCTTCAGCTTAGCTTTCTAAGAAGATGGGGGCAGGCACTGGGCTGGAGAGGTATTTAAAACTGAAATCTCCTTGTTGGCGGCCTTCCAGCTCTTCAGAGGGTGATTCTGAGGAGGCCAAGCTGGACTTCTGTTCCCTCCCTGGCTCTGCTGTGCACAGGTTGCCCTTGGTGCTGTTCATTTCCTAGCAGGCTGGGGTGAAGGTGTCCTGCTGCTGTTCCACTGAGGACGGGGACTGCTGTGGTCACAGATGTGCGGAGCTCATGTATCCTTGGAACCCACACTCATCTGGTCAGAAAGAGCAGGGATCTGGGGAGTCTTTTCTGCAGGGATTTGTCACCAGTGCTGACTTCAGTGGGGCTGTGGCATCTGCTGAGTCCTAATCACATGCAGGTGTCCAGTGATGGCCAGTGTGAGGAGGCCCAGATGTGCTGCAGAGCCTGAGCTGGTGGATTTGCAGAGGTGGGATTCTAGTCCCTCTGTGAGGGAGAGAGACCTTGCAAGTGCACCCACACTCTGTGGCTCTGATGGACACCCAGTCAGGGGGTCACATTCCCATCCCAGAGAGGAGGGATTTTCCCATAGACATACCCAGGAAGGAAATCCACCCCACTGTGTGGAGGTCAACACAAGCCCCCTCACCAGAATGTTTGAAGAATGCAACACAAAATGAGAAGGCTCTACTTGGCCTGGCCATTGCCTTGTGTATTGTTCCTGTAATTCCCACTTGGGGTACTCTGCAGGTTTAGAGCTCAGGAGTTAATAAGCCACATATTTGGTAGTTGCCAATACCTAACCCTCAACGGTTTTGTAATTATAGAAGAAGAGAAGTAACCTTTGTAGTCACCAGATGAGATGGACCACAAGGGGTAGTGGCCTTGTTTTGTAGTTCCTTGATGTCAGGAAGTGCACAGTTATATTTGAATGTACTCTGATTGGGAAATGCAGACATGACTCTGTCCAACACTCTCACTGGCATGCCTATATTGAGGATGCTGAGGTCCTCAATGGGACTTCCTGATAGTCTGACCCACTGAGAATCTGCATTCTGTGAGAGCTTGCCTGCTAGGCATAGAAACAAACTTATGCTAATTTAGACAACCCAGTTCATACTGAAATCTAGTGGTAGCACCTATCTGTGGTAGGCCCAGAGATGATTATAACACCAGCCCACCTTCTAAAACTCTCCTTTAAAGGACAAGGAGGGATG